CGGAGTAACGTTGGTGAGCTGCAAAAGTGGAGCAGCCGCAGGGTCGTCTGCTAATGCCCGTGTGAAATAAAGCAGCAGCTGCACTGGCAATATCACACCACAGTGAAGCAGAGGGGTCCCTTGGTTCGAGTTAACGCTCGTGCCGCCATCCCGAGTAGTGCGCCGATGGCTGGATCCGGTGCCATGTCGGCTGCCTGCCGGCAGATGCCCTTGCTTGGGAGCCAAGGACATTTGCACCAAACTGCCGTCCCGAACTGGGGACTTCCGTCCTTCCAAGGCACAGGGAAGCAACCCTTTGAGCCCAGCAAGCTCATCCAAGAGCAGCCACCACCAAATCTCCGGCCGAGCAAGCTCATACCAGGACAGGTCGAAAAACTCGTCCTTCAGGTAGGCGCAGAACTGGGTCCCAATTCGTTGTGATGGTTATAAAAGAAGGTGTAGAGGGATGCGGCCTGCTCCACAGTGGCTAGCTGTCCCGGCGGAGGAAGCTCCGGCAACCATTCCGCAATGAACTCAGCAAAGGAGGTCCCTCTGCAGCAAAGCCTGAACAGCAAACCGATGGCGATGAGGCTTTTTTGGCTTGACTGGGCCTCGTCGACTACGGCTGTAGCACTCGGTCCCTACAAACAAGCGAAACAACAAACCAAGCAACAAACTACAACAAAGCGGTGAAACAGCAAAGCGAAGCTCTACCAAGGGCTGCGGCGCACAGGCTTTGCCGGTGTTAGCCGTTCAGCACAAACTACGGAGCCTCAGCGACCGGTCAGGAGCAACAAAGAGCCGTCGCTCAGAGCTGCCCAAAACAACAGGTGGGGCCAAGTCCAGGCTCCGGTTGCCGTTCTAGTCTCGCCAGACAACGGACAACCCCTGTGTTTTGTTCCGTCACGATCGTGCACACCAAAATCCACAAGTCCAAAGTCCACGGTCGGGCGACGTAAGGTGAAGGCACCCAGGCAGTGAGGGCCAGCCAAAGGTGACAGAAGCGGCGTTCTCGCTCTCTCATTTGTGCCTGCAAACCAGTCGCATGCGGAATCTCTCCAGTATTGTTCATACTTGCCCATGTCTTGCGTCTTACTAACCGCAACATATACCGATGGTGACGCGACCAATGCCAGGCAGTGACGACGACCTACGACAAAGCAGAGCCCAAACACGAGGCCGTAAGAGAAGCAGCGTTCTCGCGCTTACTAACTGCAACCTTGCAACCAGTTGAGAAAAGACACGGACCTAAGCAGACGCTAGAGGCGAGCGTGCAGAAGTGACAGAAGCGGCGTTCTCGCTCTTACTAACCGCAACATAAACCGATGCGCGGCCAATGCCAGACAGAGACGACGAAGCTACGACAAAGCAGAGCCCAAACTCGAGGCCGTAAGAGAAGCAGCGTTCTCGCGCTTACTAACTGCAACCTTGCAACCTGTTGAGAAAAGGCACAGACCGAAACAGACGTTAAGAGGCGGGCATGCAGAAGTGGCAGAAGCGGCGTTCTCGCTCTTACTAACCGCAACCTTCACCGAAATGTCACGACCAATTCGGGCGGCGACAACCGCGCAACGACAAAGCAGAGGCCAAACCCAAGGCCGAATGGGAAGCAGCGTACTCGCGCCTGCTAACTGCGACCCTGCCCCGTTGGGCAAAGGCACCGCCCGAAGCAGACGTCAAAAGGCAAGCATGGAGGCGGGCGTCCCAGAGCCACCGATACGCCTCTTAGGCGGCTCCTGCGAAATAAGCCGTAGATTTTTGAGGCCTTGGCTATGATACCTCTTCTGCAGGTTTTGGGAGCCCCCCCCCTTGGGCTACACTGCCAAGGACAGCCGTTTGAACATGAGAAGCTGAAAAACCTGCCCTACATCTTAACTAACCCTGCGCAGCGCCCTAAATTTTTAGAAGGGCTCAGCCAAAGGGTGGGACGGGTACCCAACCCCTAAAAAGCGCAAAAACTCTCGGCAAAACCTTATTTCCATTAAGCTGGGTAGCGATAGTATTTCGCCCCCGTCACGATGATGTTGGAAGCTTTGCGGCGTATGCAGACGTCAAAAGGCAAGCATGGAGGCGGGCGTCCCCGAGCCACCGATACGCCTACTTAGGCGCCTCCTGCGAAACAAGCCGTAGATTTTTGAGGCCTTGGCTATGATACCTCTGCAGGTGTTGGGATCCCCTACCCATTGGCTATACCAAGCACCACCGCTTCAGCTTATCGGGTTAGGAACCTGCCCTAAATCTTAACTAACCCTGTGCAGCGGCCTAAATTTTTAGAAGGGCTCAGCCAAAGGGTGGGACGGGTGCCCAACCCCTAAAAAGCGCAAAGCTCTCGGCAAAACCTTATTTCCATCAATCTGGGTAGCGATAGTATTTCGCCCCCGTCACGATGATGTTGGAAGCTTTGCGGCGTGCAGCACAGCAAGACCTGCCTCTTGACCTGTGTGGCCCTAACCTTTGCGGCAGCGCGACCTTATTGGAGGCGGAGCAACATTGACCGTTTCCAGTGTTGTCAACTGCAAGACTACTTGCTGAGCCTCCACAGCACTGATTGTTACCGGCTGACCTTGCGTATGAAGGGGCCGTGCTTCAAGCAGATGCTGGAAAGTTTCAAAGACGGTCCATGCCGAGCGTCTTTAATGACCTCCAACCTACCTGCGTGCATGAACAAGCCCTTCTGACCTACTTCTGGGTCGAGTGAAAGGTTTGGCCTTCGAACCTTTGGAGAAACTGCTAAGGCACAGGGCGCCCGATCATGCTGCACAGGCAACTGAGCAGGTGACAAGGGTGGCTTTACCGGCAGGCCACCACGCCGAGCGTTGACTGCGTGAGTTTCGTCACCCAAGCACAGAGAACCGTTCAAGAGCGGGCACAACCAACCCCGCAACCGCACAAGCAAGCCCCCCCCAGAAGCTCTCAAAAGCTCTCGGCAAAACCTTATTTCCATCAATCTCTATACATCTTCTTTATGGTCGACAGTCCCTACAACAATCTGGGTAGCGATAGTATTTCGCCCCCGTCACGACGATGTTGGAAACTTTGCGGCGTGCAGCAGCAACACCTACCTCTTCTACAGCTGGCTATAAGGCGAGACGTGGAAGGCATGTTCACAGTGCGCGTGCGCTCAAACACAGATGGCGGCGGCATGGGCAGACTGAACAGGTGACAAGGGTGGCTTTACCGGCAGGCCACCACGCCGAGCGTTGACTGCGTGAGTCTCGTCACCCAAGTACAGAAAACCTTGGCAAAACAGGCACAACCAAACCCACAACTGCACAAGCAAGCCCCCCCCCACGAAGCTCGCCTGGCGAGTGTTGGTCTCCCAGCTGGGATCTCGGGCTTTTGGCTATGACTCCCCCTCTGCAGGTTTTGGGTTCCGATGGCGATGAGGCGCGCCAGCGTGCGCAGTTGCATCTTACCTTTGCCACATCCACCGGGCTGTCGGGGGTCATCTGTGCAAATGACAAGCTTGCATTGGCCAGAATGGCAGAGGAAGGCTGCCCCTCCTGTTGCCCCTCGTCGATCACAATGAGGTGCCCATTGTTGAGGAAATTCTTCACTTCACTGCAGAAGGCATGGCAAAGCTGAAGCGCGGCTGACCCCTGTGTGAGCAGTAGCATGGGGCCTGCTGACCGAAGGGGAAGCATAACGTGCACTGTGCCTCTTCACTTCCAGCTGGATCGTGGCGTAGGAGCAGCTGGACCGGGTAGCCGTCTTGCCGCAATGTGCAGCGACCGCTGTAGCATCACAGAGCGGCGGAATGCGGTTCAGCGACCACCGTTCACAGAATTCACGGGCAGTCTCCCATCCTCGCGCTGCGGGTTTTGGAGTCCAAGCCGCCTTGTGCTTAGCTGCTTCCGTTAGTTTCCGAGGGACCTCTAGGGAACCTTCGGGGCCTCTGGGCCTCTCACACACAGCACTCAGACAGAGCGGGCACGCTCCACACTTTTCACTCTGCTGTTCTTCAGCAGTCCGAGTCTTGAGCAAAGCCCGGCACGGCTTGAGGCTTCAGTACACAGCTCTCTGGACTTCAAACACTTCACAGCTCGTGAGCACTAACAGCGAACTTGGGCTTCAGCTCTCTAAACACTAGAACTGGCTCCTGATGCCTCTTAGGCATCAGGCTGTAGCTCTGGCGAAAGCAAACAGGCTTGAGACTCTTCACAAACACTCCAAGCGTCCGCAAAGCTCACTCTGAGGTTCGGGCGGGACGACCGACAGGCGGACCGACCGACCGACCAACAAACCGACAAAACAAGGTTTCGAAAACATGCGAAATGGTTTCGTTCCAAGCCTTCACCATGCCAAAACAAATCGTACTCACATGACATGCAAAACAAGGCTGTGCAAGATTTTCCAAAGCAAGTGTAAGTGCTTCAAATCAACAACTGGGAACCTTAGGAGGTCACACAAATCAACTCCCCCTCTTGACCGTAAGGTTCCTAGACCCGGTCCTGTCCTCTTTTCGAAGACCACGCCACAGACAAAGTCCTGTGCGTTCGTTCCTCAGTCTGCGCGTCCAGGAGCAGAGGCGGTCCTAAAAGACTCCGTGGCACAGCTCTTCAAGCGTACCTGCCGGCTTGTGAATTCATCCGAGTCGTAGCGTGGCCAAAGCAGTCTCTGCGAAGGCTCTCGGATAGTGTTGTGTAGCTTTAAGGTCAAACGTTTGTGAATGATCGTGGCTACCATCACATGCAAAGTTTCGAGACATGTGTTGAATAAAATCCGCATCGTTAGAAACAAGCTTCCATGTTTTCTTCACCAAAAGATTATCTTGACCTACCATGCCTGCCATGCACCCATGCACAAGCCCTTCGTGGTGGCTTCTGCTCCGCAGGAAGCTCTTCGTAGACTGCCAGCCCCAATAGCTGCATCTCTGTGGCCACTCGATCACCCAGACACTCACTTGTGGGTGGGTGTTCAGTTTCAACCACGATTTCCAAAGCTTTCTGTGCACTGTGAACAGGGCCTGCAAGTGCTCTTGGTGTTGGGGGTTGTGGTGCAAGTGTTTTCTTTGCCAAGGGCTACCCCCGGTACAAGGCGTGCTGCTCCAAAGAACAACCTTCATTCCCCAGCTCCTGGCAACATCCATGGCTGACATGAGCCGCTCCACGGTCTCAGGTGAAGTCCCATCTACTTCCACAGTCACCGGCAGAACAAAGACAGAGTAGTCACACCCCGTGGTCACAAAGCTAGATTGCGGATCGGTACAAAACTCAATGAACAGGGTTCCGTACGAGGTTGGGAGCTCACAGAGGCCCAAGAACCTTTCCCACTCAAGTTCTGTGTTGTCAAAGATTGAATTCAACAGCCCTGTAAGGAACACACACGAGCGAACCACCGGCACAGCACAAAGGTCAACCTGGTGGACGTCTTCCAATCCTAAGGTCGTTGTGTGTTTCAAGGTCTGGGGCCTGTTGAGGTTCTTGGTGAGGAGATCACTGACGTTCTCTTCTCCGGCAACCCCGTTAATCACCAACTCGTTCTGATGCACCCTATCCTGAATAAAACAAAGTCTGATGTCTACATGTCGCATCCTCCGAAGGAACCCCTCCATCCCGGCAATCTGGCGAGCAGATGCGCTGTCGGTGTAGATAGCGAGGGGCTTGGCGATCTCGCCCCAAATGTGAGAAGCCAGCTGACCTAAACCGGCAATTTCCTTAGCGGCCTCGGCAATGGCAAAGAGTTCGGCTTCGGCAGAGGATAAGGCAACTACGGTTTGTAGCCTACTGTAGCCCTTTACGCAATACCACAGGGAACCGGCCACTACGTAGATAACCCCACCGCTAGTACTCTTCCTCCCGGTGCTACTTTCACTGCCCCAGTTGCTATCACAGAACGCCACCAAAGTGGCACCCTCTTCTTCCAAAGTTTCCCCGCTCCCGGCGGGAAAGACCTGATCAAGCAACGGACAACCGACCAACCACCGAAGAAATTTCCTTAGCGCATCCTCGTGCACCATCCTTGGTGCAGCTTGCCCTCTCGAAAGCATAGAGTGGAAATATGTGATGTCAGTGCGCGTCTGGGTCAACCAACCAATCTTCCCAAGGCAGGACCTGAACCTACCCGCGGCTTCTGGAGACAAAGAGGGCGATGGGGATTCAGGGTCCTCAGCATCATATAGAGCCCTAATGTCGGGGGTTGTGGCCACAGGTTTGACCTTAGCCAGGTCCTTCTCGGTCCACCCAAAGGCAGAGAAGACTGAACGCACGTACTCAGGTTTCACCCCAAGGGTGATGTTGTTCCCATCTAGCTTGATAAGCCGTCCTAAAAACTCAAGTTGGCCATCTTCATGGAGCCTTCCGGTGACCTTTACCTTTAGAACCGCACTCAGGGACTTGTGGATAAACTCAACCCCCTCTTGGCTGTCGGAGACGATCAATAAATCATCCACATAAGCTAGGGCGATGATATACGTCCACTTCTTTCCGAGCTGAACCCATCCACTAAAGAGCGTGGGCTCGAGCGGCGAGGCTTTGAGGCCCAGGCCGACCATAATCTTACCGAGGTGCCTTTGCCAACTCAGGCTCGCGCTGCGCAAGCCATACAGAGCCTTCTCTAGGATCAAGTACGCGGGGCCTCCGCCCTCTAGGCAGAAAGAGCTCGGGAGCTCCACCACAGTGGGTTGAACAACGTTCGCAAACAGGAACGCAGTAGAAATGTCCAAACCCCAAACCCGCATACGACCCTTCGCGGCTCTCGAAAGTATGAGCTTGAGTGCCTCCACACTCGCGGTGTTCGAAGAGAGGCCAAGATCAAGGGCAGAGGGTCTGCCGCGCGCGAAGTCTTTCGCCACGAGGCGTGCCCTGACAAGCCCTGGGGCTTTCTGCGTCAGCACCCACCGTGACTTTATCACGCGGCACCCTGGGTTCTCTTCCTGGTAGCGACCAACCTCAGACCTGGAACGAAGGAGGCCGACTTGCAAAGAGTCGACGGCCTTGACCTCAGTCTTCATTCCTTCCCAGCTCTCTTTGTTGTCTAGCTGGATTCCATCGACATCGTCGTAGGAACTCCGAGGCCTGGAGACCCAAACCCAGCGATCCCCGATGGGCATATATGTGCCCTCTTTCTCTTGATCTTGATCATTGCAAGCAGACAGGTCCGACCGACCAACCGACCGACCGACCGACATGCTCACGCCCGACCGACCAACCGACACGCTGTCGCCGCTCGACCGACCAACTGGCACGCTCAAGCCCGACCGACCAACGTCATGCTCCACACGCTCATGCTCAAGCAACGCAATGCAAGAGTACGGCAACTTATCGCAAGAGGAGCGGCCGTCGACAAGCAACGAGCAAAACGCTTGCAAATCATACACATCACACGCGGTCAAGGGAGTGGGAACGTAGCGGACGCAGCCGCAAGCCCACATTTCCTCCAATAACCGAATCGCGGGGCGATCATCCTTCGGTGCCTCGGCGACACCCATCAGATCATCTTTTCCCTCGTCCTCGGAGGGCAACGAGGGCTCGTAGTCACTAAGATGGTCGTTGGCCTCCGCACTGATCTGTGGTACTTCTACTTCTTGCTCTGAGGGCGCCGAGGGCGCCGGAAACTCACGAACTTCCGAATCACCGAATCGAACCCGCTTGGCCGGTGGGCCTTGAGCGGGCGGAGGGTCCCGACCAAGCTCTTCAAGAGCGTTGTCCACAGCATCTCGGAGCCACCGCTGGTAGCGCCGGACGCACTTTATTGAATGGCGAGAGGACGTGGCCTCTTCGGAGCATCCGGGGCACTTAGGGGTGCCACCGTGCTCGCGGATCCATTCTTTGGAGGGTCCCCCTCCCGGCACATAGGGAAGGTGGAGCTCGCGAAAGCGCTCCTCATCCAAAGGTGGCACAAAGCCTTCCAGAGGCCTGGCACCGTCAAGCAACGAAGCATCGTATCGAAGAGGGTAGAGCAACTTCAGACCCGGCGCAACAATCAACTTGGTTTCTCCAGAGTCCAGCCGGATACGCACCTGGTGCCCGGTAGAACCAAGCACAGGACCCAGGTACACCCCGCGGGCATACTTGGTATCAACCTCCTCTTTGCTAGAACGGCTGACCTTTGCGAAAACGACAGCCCCGAAGGGATAGGTCAACTGGGGCTTGTGGTCGTGGCCCCGCAGCTTCTGCAAAGGAGACATGGTGTTCCCGACCGACACTGCAAATCGATTGTGCACGTGTGCCGCGTATCTAAAAAGAACCTCTAAAGTACCCGGATCATCTCCGAGGACAACACCATTTTCACGGAGTTGTAATTCGTGAGAAGACACAATCCCTTTCAAGGTTCGCACTGCTCGTTCAGCAACGGGAGCGTGGCGCTCCGGAGCAAAACTTTCACTGTGTCCCTCATACCGGATCTGAGTAGAAGGAGGGCTTAGGAGCAGCGCTCTGGCCTAACCCAAAATGAGCTAGCCACGGCTCGAGATGCCCGGCTGATTCGCGTCCACTCATCCCTTCTGGTCGGAACGTCACTCCAATCGCAAAAGCAAGCACATGCACTAGAATAATAAAGCACCTTGAGCGATACATGAACTGATCTACCTGATACTCTTTATCGGGTCTGTCACTTCGCATGCGGGCTGGCGTCAGCCCTCGGCTTCTGTTGCAAGCTTCACAGCTCGCCCAGTATGGCACGTGACCCTGAGAGACATGTGACAGGCGCTTGTGCAGCTCACGGCGTGTCTCCGGATCTTGTGATATGATCAGCTCTCCCTGCCCTGCTGCTAAACCCAAACCGGCCGGACCCTCTGGTTGCGTATTGGGCTCCTTGTTGTGATTCTTCTGGTTGAGGGGGTCCTCTTCCTGCAACGGGGCAACAACAGCAGCGGAAATGAAAACTGAGCATGGCTGACCGCAGAACTCACACGAAGCGTGCACTCTAGAATGTTTCCATGCATGCTGGTGCGTTGGCAAAGCAAAAAGGCCATTATTCATGGCGTCGGGCTTCGAAAGCTGTGAGACGATTACGGGGTCGGGCTGCGAGAAGATCTCCTTGGCGGAAGTGGCGGCGGGTTGATAACCCACGTTCCCGATGGAGGTGCCGGCGGTGGTGCCAGTGGTGGCCCCAGAACGCTCCCCGTTGGGCTTGAAGTAGGCCGGCTCACGGTAGGAGCAGGAGGTGGGATCGGCAATGCAGTGCGCGGACGCACTCGTCGAGACTCTGTGGCCATCTCCGCTGCAATCCTCCAGGAGTCTGCTTCTGCCTCCGTACAGATCCCGAGCCTCATCCTCGTGTGTAAGCTCTCGCCGCTGGGCGAACTCAGCACTGCACCCGGAGGTGGGTAGCTGCGCAGCACCCACGAATATGTTGGTGGAGCCGAAACCGGTGGTGGCGGAGGTGCCGGAGGCGGCACACTGGGCGACACGTTGGGTGGCGATGGCGCTTCTTGCTCCATCCCTGTGTCCTCGGCCATCTCGGTGTCCTCCTCCACAGGTGCCTCCAATGGCGCCGTCTTGGGCGGCGTCTTGGGCATCATAGACCCGAGCCCCTTCGGATCCACCGACTTGGGTGGTGTCTTTGGCTGTAGATCCCCGCGGCCAGCCTGAGCTGGCTTCCAGCCACCCCAGTTCTCCGAGTCCGTAGGCGAATTCGGAGGCGTCCACCCTGGTGGTGTCTTGACAGGTGAGGTGAAAACGGCCTGAGCTGCCACCCCCTCGCTCAGTGGAGTTAATGCCCGCGCTCCCTCCAGTTGTTGGGTCGAGCGCTGCTGGACTCCCAGAGTGTCTGGCCAAGGCCTGGCCTTCACCCGTCGTGTCTCTGGCTCTGTTGGAAGCACACGGCGTTCCACTGCTCGCGGAGGCTCTGATGGTTCCGCCCAGATTCCCGGAAGTGCATTGCTGGATTTGGCTGTGGCTTCCGAGTTGTCCTCTGGCGGCAAAGTTGAGGCACCCGCCTTCGCCGGTTGGTTGCTGAACCAAGCCAGTCGGAGAACTAGCTCCCTCGCCTTCTTGATCTCGGGCTCGGCCAAGTCCGGCATACGAAGCTGGATCATCATATCGATCCTTTCGGGATCGGAAAGCCTGTCCGGTAGAAGCCTCAAACCAGGGCGGTTCCTGGCGATCCACGACTTCATGTGGTGATTGTGGCTGTCGGACATTAAATGAGCCTCCGTCGCGTGTTTCCCGCAGACCATGCAGTACTCGCAGTAGTTGCGGTTGTTGTGGCTCAGGGCCTGAGGGCTTGACCACTTCCCCTCTGGGGCAATATAAGGAGGGGTCCAACTGAAGCTGTCACCCCAGTCGCCTTTGGGGCAGGTGGCCCCCCTACCTCCTCGTCGGAGGATATCTCCATTGCTTCCGCCCGGCCTGTCCAGCCCTTCTTCGCACTGGCCTTCATCAGCTAAACCCTTAAGGCTCATGCTTGTGCCTTGGCGATCTGCGGAAACCCTCTGTTCACCTACACTGTCGCTCGAACTGCACACACCGTCATGCACAACCGACCGACCAACCAACCGACCATGCACGCCAAGCAAACGCTCTTCAGAATCACTGCACGCAGGTTGCACTATACAGAAACTGGCTGCACTGAAGATTCACTAAAACCCGGCTGCACCCACTGGCCTCGATCGGAAGATGTGGTCCCCGAGCGCAAAGGTGAAGAAGATGGATCCACGGCACTCGATTGCAAAAGCTTTACCACTCTAGCAGGCAACTGACCTACCAACTGCACTCCAGGGCTGCCGCAAGACGATTGACCTACCAACTGCACTCCTGAGCTGGCGCAAGACGACTGACCTACCAACTGCACTCCTGAGCTGTCGCAAGACGACTGACCTACCAACTGCCCAACAGAGTCCTCGCAAGCATGTGGCAAAACACTCGGTTCAACATGCGCTGTTTCATGCTGTTGTCGTGAAAAATCATGCCCATGCTGTGAAAAATCATGCTCATCGTGCGAAAACTCATGCTCATGCTGTTTCTCAGGTGAGGAAAACTCAAGAGACCTACCACTCGACAGACCGCAAGACGACGAGACACTCGCAAGCGTGAGCTTCGCGGAAGAATCAGCCATCACACTCTGAAGCCATGTGCAGTCGCCGAACACTGCTGGAAGCAGCGTCACCTCCTTACGTTCCGCTGTTAAGAGACCCCGGTAAAGGGTAGGCTTCCAGCCTCTCCAACAGAGGAGGTTGAGGTTTATCAGGTTGTGTTTGATTTCGCTGCTAACTACCGCTTCTAGACGACAGGTGCACGCAAAGGTGCTCAGAACTCCTCCTCGCTGCTCAAAGTGTCGAGTGGTGAGAAAATTCACCTCGATCGTCGCGTGGGTGTCGCTTCCCACTTCCACCAGGTCGCCAGTGGCAGTCTGGCACACAGTCTTCGGTCGCTTCTTTCTCGACAAAACCTTGACGTGTCCACTCTCAAGCGTCGCCTGGGAAACCACATGGTACGAGCTCCCAGAGTCGAGAAGCCAATAGATCTTCTCTCCCGACTCAACGAAGGAAGGTGCGACCATGGGCATCGCAAAGTATGCTCCCTCAAGGAACGTTCTGACGCCCTTCTCTGTTCCCTTCCCAACGTCACCCTTCGTAGTGGGCTGGTTGCTCGGCGCCTTCGGCGCAGCCTTGGCAGCTGTAGCGCTCCCCGAACTCTCCGCAGCGCCTGTCGTCACAGTGGCGTTGGCCTCGTGGGGGGAAACCGCAGCAGCTTGCTTCAGCCAACAGTCGCGGGCCCAATGTCCCTTCTTCCCGCAGTTGTGGCAAACGTCGGTCTTCTTGGCCTTGCTCTTGGCACGTGCAGCTGAACCCTTTCCGGGCTTCTCCTTCTCCTTGTTGCCCTTGTCTGCTCGCTCTCCTTTGCCCTTTCCTTTGTCTTTGCCTTTCCCTTTGTCTCCTTTGCCCTTCTTGCCTTTGTCGCCTTTCCCTTTGTCACCCTTGTCGCCTTTTCCAGCACCGAACGCGTTCGGGTAGCCGTGGTGGTGCTCCTTCTGGAAGTTTAGCACTCGAAGCTGCTCGTCGTAAAACTGCAGCCCTTGCAACATTGCATCCAGACCGCTGGTGGTCTGGTGCAACAAAAGGTACTTCTTCGCGTCCTCGTCCAGGTGCTTCAAGACTCCCAGAACAGCTTCTTGCTCGTGGACCTTAAGCTCAGGGTACTTCTTGCCAACCTGAGACTCAAACTTCATGAGCTCAGTCATGTACCACCTCATCACATCAAGCGGTCGCTTGAGGTGCTTGGGAGGGTGAAGATTGATCATCTGCTCCCTCAGCGCTTGGCCCTCCACCCTCGAACGGACCGAGAGCTCTCGGTTGAGCAGGCGCCAGAACTCGTATCCAGCACTTGCTCCTTTCTGAGCAACCTCGATCAGGTGGATGAGGTCCTGGGCTCTTTGAAACTTGCTCAAACTCTGGCGTAGCAAGAACCAAAGCTTGCTGGACCGCGCTGCCTTTCCGACGTCCAACGTACTCTGCTGAACTGGGACGGCGCTCTGCTCTGACTCGTCCAGCTCTTCTGCGAACCGGTCGTCAAGCAAACAGAGCCAGCTGGTGAGCTCCTCCTTGTAAGCACTCCAAACCCGAATCTCAGCATGCCTCGTGTTCATCGAGGCAAAGTTCAGCTGAGGCAGAGTCGGAATGTAGCTCTCTGCCCTTCTAGAGCGGATTCCCGTGTCAACTTCCATTGGCGCGGGACCAGAGGTGTCACCCGAAGAGCTTGCAGGCGCGGTCGCAGCTGCACTGGCACTTGTCTGGCTGGCGTTCTGGACACCAAGCACTGCCAGGTCCTTCACCAGGTTAGTGAGCTGCTGCACTTGGGCCGCTTGAGCCCTGATCTGCTCGTCCTGGGCCTGCATCATCTGCCGAAACAGATTCACAGTGTTGTCGTCAAGGCTCCCAGGGTTCACTGGCAACTGTTGAGGCACAGTTGGCGTAGGAGGCTGTTGTGGTGGCGTTCCCAAACTGAAGTACTGCGTCTGGTGCGCAGCCTGTGCTGTCGGAGTCTGGCCCGCAGAGGCTAAAGGCCTCAGGTCTACTCCGGGACGGTGTGCAGAAGGGGAGTTGGCTGCCGGTACACTTCTCGCACGCACTCGTGGCACTGAACCAGACCTTGCAGAGAGGCTAGAACTCAAACGACTAGCTCTCCCACTCGAGTCACGGCTCCTCCCTCTCGGAGAGCGGTCTCTCCCTGCTGCACCACCTGGGCCATGGCTTGCCATGGCTCTGGAGCACGAAGCTCCGCTACCACGTTAGTTTCCGAGGGACCTCTAGGGGACCTTCGGGGCCTCTGGGCCTCTCACACACAGCACTCAGACAGAGCGGGCACGCTCCACACTTTTCACTCTGCTGTTCTTCAGCAGTCCGAGTCTTGAGCCAAGCCCGGCACGGCTTGAGGCTTCAGTACTGTCTGTGGAGGGCCGACCTCGCGAAGCCAGAATTGCTTGTGTTTTGCGGGCCTTAAAATGGGGTCGCCCGACAGCCCCATAACCATGCAGAGTTATGGTATCGAGAAGGTGGGCCGGAACAGATCATACAAGAGCGGCGGAATTTTCTGAAAGGTATCTCCACCAGATCTGAACAGGACTTCTTGAGCTGTGTAGAGTTATGGTATCGAGAGGTGTGGCTGACGGTTCGGAATTTGTGCACGGTGCTTAACTCCAAAACCCCTCATGCACGACATGGGCTCACCTGGCTCTCGCCAGATTTTTTTTGCTCTTTTAGCAGAGACCCATTTGCAACATTCTTTGCCTCTGCCTTGCTTCTGATTGCATTTGCTGTTGCTAGACCAGTGGTTGCGTTCCCTCAAAAGACCGAACTGCACTTTTCGCTGTTCTCGGAGATTGCACCTCTGCTTCAATTTCTTTTTGCTCTCTGAGTCAGTTCCATCGTCAAATCGGGTCTTTTTTGCTTCATGGTTGCGTGTGTCTTTGCGCAGGATGGTTGCATCCGCTGTCACAAACCGACAAAAAAAGATCGCTCGCAGCAGGCGCTCCAACCGACTTTGTTGCTCAGCAAATCCACATCTCTGCGCAACACAGACCCGTGCCGCTGCCGCCCCCGCAACACAGGTTTTTCGGTCTGCCTCATGGAAGAACTGCTTTTGAATCAGATTAGTGACCGCGCTCGTTTTGTCTCGTTTCGTTTTGCTTCGAATGTTTTTAGCTCAAGAAAAAGATCGAGTGCTGCGCAGTCTGTTTTTCTCGGCCTCGCCTGTGCAAGGTTGGAGTTGAGAGTTCTCCTAGAAGGTACTGTGCCTGAGAAAGCATCGACTTTGACCTGTTTGGACCAGATCCTGTTTGTCCCATGAGTCCGCCTGCAGCTCAAAGGTGGAAGTGTTCTGGCTGCTGTGTCTGGAACGTGTTCGGCCACCAGTGCCGCCGACGTCCACTTTCGATGCGGACCAACTGCAGCACACGCGGCTCCAAATGTGGGGTCGAACAAGCTTAGCAATTTTGGCTTCGCTTGAGTGGCCCCCCTCTGTTCTCTCATGTCTATCACTTCCACAGGCAAGCTGTCTGTTGGAAATTCTTGTTGGAGAACGATTTTTCCACACTGGATGCCTGCCTGTGGGCGAGTCGCCTTGATGTAGCAGTGTGGAACGCACGGGCTTGGGCTTGGGCCCCAAAATGAGGAATTCGCGACCCCAAAATAGGGGCCGCCAAGCGGCCCCGATTTTGGGGTCCTCTGGTTGCCAGTCAAAATATGTTGAAGGAGGTTGACTGGATTTCGCGGCTCCTTTTCTGGGGCCGCGAGACGGCCCCATTTTTGGGGTCGCAAGTTTGATTCCTGCACCCACAGCGGCTGAATCTCGTCAGCTGCGCATGTCATTGATTGTATTGACTTTGGGGAGCGTCCGTGGAAGGTCTTGTCCAAAGCCAAAGCTGCAGAATGCAACTGTGGAGGGCCGACCTCGCGAAGCCAGAATTGCTTGTGTTTTGCGGGCCTTAAAATGGGGTCGCCCGACAGCCCCATAACCATGCAGAGTTATGGTATCGAGAAGGTGGGCCGGAACAGATCATACAAGAGCGGCGGAATTTTCTGAAAGGTATCTCCACCAGATCTGAACAGGACTTCTTGAGCTGTGTAGAGTTATGGTATCGAGAGGTGTGGCTGACGGTTCGGAATTTGTGCACGGTGCTTAACTCCAAAACCCCTCATGCACGACATGGGCTCACCTGGCTCTCGCCAGATTTTTTTTGCTCTTTTAGCAGAGACCCATTTGCAACATTCTTTGCCTCTGCCTTGCTTCTGATTTGCATTTGCTGTTGCTAGACCAGTGGTTGCGTTCCCTCAAAAGACCCAACTGCACTTTTTCGCTGTTCTCGGAGATTGCACCTCTGCTTCAATTTCTTTTTTGCTCTCTGAGTCAGTTCTATCGTCAAATCTGGTCTTTTTTGCTTCATGGTGCGTGTGTCTTTGCGCAGGATGGTTGCATCCGCTGTCACAAACCGACAAAAAAAGATCGCTCGCAGCAGGCGCTCCAAGCGACTTTGTTGCTCAGCAAATCCACATCTCTGCGCAACACAGATCCGTGCCGCTGCCGCCCCCGCAACACAGGTTTTTCGGTCTGTCTCTCATGGAAGAACTGCTTTTGAATCAGATTAGTGACCGCACTCGTTTTGTGTCGTTTCGTTTTGCTTCGAATGTTTTTTAGCTCAAGAAAAAGATCGAGTGCTGCGCAGTCTGTTTTTCTCGGCCTCGCCTGTGCAAGGTTGGAGTTGAGAGTTTTCCCAGAAGGCTGTGCCTGAGAAATTCGACTTTGACCTGTTTGGACCAGATCCTGTGAGTCCGCCTGCAGCTCAGGTGGAAGTGTTCTGGCTGCTGTGTCTGGAACGTGTTCGGCCACCAGTGCCGCCGACGTCCACTTTCGATGCGGACCAACTGCAGCACACGCGGCTCCAAATGTGGGGTCGAACAAGCTTAGCAATTTTGGCTTCGCTTGAGTGGCCCCCCTCTGTACACAGCTCTCTGGACTTCAAACACTTCACAGCTCGTGAGCACTAACAGCGAACTTGGGCTTCAGCTCTCTAAACACTAGAACTGGCTCCTGATGCCTCTTAGGCATCACGCTGTAGCTTTGGCGAAAGCAAACAGGCTTGAGACTCTTCACAAACACTCCAAGCGTCCGCAAAGCTCACTCTGAGGTTCGGGCGGACGACCGACAGGCGGACCGACCGACCGACCAACAAACCGACAAAACAAGGTTTCGAAAACATGCGAAATGGTTTCGTTCTAAGCTTTCACCATGCCAAAACAAATCGTACTCACATGCTCTCTCTTATATCCATGTTTCAAAACTGCGCTACGTTACGGTGTAGTCTCTGGCTGTTTCGTTGATGGTGTAAGTCCTTCTCCTCCGCTCCGGCCGGAACTCGCTCCAGAACGCGGCCTAGAAGGCTCAGAGCTGGCTTTTAGAACGCCCGAAAGTGCGCGCAAAATCCATGCAAAATCTATTGGGCCATAGTGCGGCACTGGGCGGGCCGTCAGGCTAGAAGTCCGGCTCGGCCTGAAATGGCGGCTTTGGCCCTCCTACTCTACATTCGGCGAGATGTTAGGCCGAAGTGTTCCATGAATGCAATGTCACGAAAAAGTTTGACAAGACACGGTGGCCGAGGAACCTTGCACAGCCTTGTTTACTTAGCATGACTACGCGGCAAGACTTGGACAACCGGGATTTCCGGATGTGCAGCTGCATCATACTCTTCGCTCAGAAATCAATTGGAACCATCACGCAGCTCTCCTAGTGTTAGAGGTCCATCATCTTACCAACCAGCCGCAAGCATCGCAATCCAAACCTGAAGCAAACAGCATTCGTAAGTCCACCTTAATATTCCGAGGGCCGTAAATTAGCCGAAACAGTAAGCTGAAGGTCTGTTGACCGACAGCTTGCTCACTTCTTCACACACCCAAACACAGAGAAGCAACGATTGACCAGCCAGTTGCTAAGCACGAGTCAGAATCTCCAAGTGGCATCCTTTCGAAAACAGTCAGCTGCCCTCTCTGTGACGCACCCCAACCTCTTGCTCGGCAACATCATTGTCCGAAGCCTGCAAGCATGAGCCAGTAAGCACGCACGTGTGCGAACCATGATCCCGACATGCAGCGCATACTTGTGATTCAAGACATGACGACGCAGCCTTGAACACACTTGCAGTCATTCAATGCAAGCTCGGATGCAGTTGGGCCACCTGTCAACATCGAATTTGACAACAAAACGTCACTCTCAATCATTGCTCAACATCATGTTGGTCAACTTTGGTCTCTGTGCGGGCGTTCATTTTGCTCCTCACTCGGCGCTGTCAGGGCCTGGTACTCCAGCAGCAAGACCTGAGAGATGGCGCAGGAAGGGTGGGATGAGGGCCACCAAGTCGTCTTGCTGCAACGAGTGTAGGTCATCGATGACGCCTGTGGGGAAATTGGAGCCAAGCACCGCCAAAAAGTCCATGTTGAATTGCCTCACAGTTTTTGCTGCTTTGCCCAGGTTCTTCGCCTGCTCCGTAAAATCCTTTTCTTTGAGCAGAGTGTTGGACTTGACTTGGACGGCAGCGACTAAACTCCCACTCTCCCGGCGGAAGATGACAAAGTCAAGGGCCATGCAGTTGGCAGGAGCCATGATGAAAAGGAAAGGTGCGCTGCCGCAGTGATCAGTGCCCAGGTCTCGAGCTTTCTGCAGAAAACGTTCGATGTTTTGCCGTGCCTCGTTCTTGTTTGCTGTTGCAAGGTCGGGATCCTGTGCCAGGGAGTCGTTAAAGCCTATATCCAGGAAGCTTTGACAATCTGTTTTGAGAGCTTGTGGAAGCTTCTCGTGCAGTTTCACAATCGCAAGCATAACACCAACGGCACCTGTGACCTCCGTAAAGTACGCCGCGGCTTGGTTCATGATTGTCTCGTTGCTGCTTTCAATCGCCTCACGCTTGGTCCGATACGCTTTGCCCATCATGTGCCAAAGCTTGTGCGACCTAGGAAAGGACTGTACCAGGTGGAACGAAGTCTCGAACCAGATGGCTGCATGCCAGGCTGCGACTGTCGGCATAAAAAGAAGCTGTTGTTCGGAGAAATGCCTCGCCTCCACCAGCACCCTTCCCTCGTAGATGCCCTCTTGCAGCGACATAATGCTGGTGACTTGACCCAGCTGCCGGAAGGGGCAGTCCACTGAGTCCCACGACTGGAGTACTGCCTCCAGCTCTGGGGCCCTGAATCCGGGCGGGAGGTTCGTCCCCATCTCTCCAATCTTCGCAATGGAGCCAGTGACAGAACCACTTGACAGGCCATTTGAGTCACGCAAGAGGGCTGTCAGGTACTCGACAGCCCGGGCATAGCCCGCAGTGGCTCCCCAAGCAAGGCCGATGCGGTAGGACAAGATCGCCTTTTTGGTGTTGCTTCTGCTGCCCTTGTCCAAGTCTGTGAGCACTGACCGAAACTTATTGAATGTGTCAACTCCTAGCACAGGCAAGATTTGAAACTCTACTTTCCGTTTGCTCTTACTGAATATGTCCACAGCTCGCTGATAGTTGCTGAGCGCCGACATCGCCACGTAGACCTGCCCGGCCCAAGCATCCATCAGTTCACAAAGTCGATTTCGCACGAGGCCCTCGTCTGACCTGCCCACCTCGTCGGCAAGGATCACGAGAGGGCGAGTACCGTACCAGTGGTGCAGGATCTCTACGGCAAAATCGAGGTCGTCAAGGCACGCCAACATGTTGTTGGATGCAGCATCGGCATGAATGGCATTCAAGAAGGCCATCCAAGAAGTGCAGCGCAACCCAGCCCTTGTCATGTGATGGGCGGCGCCGTACAGAACTCGCAGGGCCAAGTCCACGGCGCTGTTGCTAGCCAAAGTTCCACGGTTCAACTTGCTGCTCATTGCAGAACTGTAAGTGAAGGCAGAGACTATAGGCTTCTGCTCCTGGCCCTTCAAATCCGGAAGGCGCAGGATCTTCTCCCCCAACTCGGCCAAGAAATGGCTCTTGCCAGAGCCGGGCGCCTGCGCTACCAGGAGCGCTGGCGAAAACCCCTTGTCGGAGCTGGCGCACCCTTTCAGACACTGTGCTCGAGCCACAACCTTCTTCACCACATCCTGCATCTCCCTGTCCCGATCCAACAGATTGCTCTTATCCTGCTTCCCAGCCATGCTGCAACGTGAAGCCAGCGCACCATTGAATGGGCCTCTACTGAGATCAATGATGCAGCTTGGTGATGACTGGTAGCCAGCATCTGTCATCGGCCAGCCCTCTGTGTCGTCGAAGAGCAGCTTGCCGAAAAACTCAGCAGCTTGGGACACGTCAACCTGCAAAGGAATTGTCAGAGGATCCGCTTGACAAATGCAGCAGGCACATGTCTATCAAACAAGCAGCTCCGTACTTTTGCAGGCGCAATCTTCGGATCCCACAAAGCAACAACGGTGGACCGCACGAAAAACCCACGACGACCTAGAGCCCTGCAAACCTACGGCAACATGCCAACGCAGAAGCCTCCAACCTACACTCGTCTCGCCGGAACCCCACTGCTCTTCACAGTCCGTGTGCTAAAGGCAAGCACTAAGAACCCAGGGTTGACTCCCTTGACCTCCCCCTTCACGGACACCTGAAAGTCGAGCCTCAAACAAAAACAACCGCAACCTGGAGAGCACAAAGCGAGCGCAAAACAGGCTGACCCCCCCACCTCGAGCCTAGGATTGACACCCCGTTCTGAAGCATCGGCAAAACACGAAGGGCAACCAGATTTGCATGAACCTAAAGCAGCCAAGAGCCCTCTGCTCCGAAAGCCCCCTCCCGCTCCCCGAAGGGCTGCAAGCCAAAACAGTGAAGCTTAACGACGGGGCAATCCTTGCTGAGAGGAGAGCATGACCCCAAAAAGCCAAAACGGTGGAGCGCACGAAAACGCACGACGACCAAGAGCCCCGGACAAGCAGGACTGCTACAAACCAAAGCCAACATGAACACGCAGAAGCCCCCGGCCTGCACTCGTCTTGCCGGAACCCCACTGCCCTTCAAGGTCCGCATGCTAAAGGCAAGCACGAAGAACGCAGGGTTGACTCCCTTGACCCCCCCTCACGGACACAGTAACCTGAAAGTCGAGCCTCAAACAAAAACAACCGCAACCTGGAGAACGAGCGCAAAGCGAGCGCAAAACAGGCTGACCCCCCCACCTCGAGCCTAGGACTGACACCCCGTTCTGAAGCATTGGCAAAACACGAAGAGCAACCAACCTAAGGCAGCCAAGAGCCCCTCCGGCTCCCCAAGTGCTGCAAGCCAACACAGTGAAGCGCGAAACGCTGGCCCTTCATAACAGATCAAAAAGAAGCATTGCCACTTAGTGCAAAAGCCGAGCATCGACACAAGCATACATGAAGCTTCACCTGGTCCCCTGTGACCTGCTGCCCTGCAAAACGCTGGCATCTCGGGCCCTGCCCGACCCCGACAAATCAAGAAAGACAACAACAACACCGACGATACTGCGACAGCACGGCGGCCAAGCACACAAACACAGATACCGTACCTGAGCCTCAGACGCCAAAAGAACTGCAGCCGAGAGCCACACCCTCTCACCTCGATCCTAACTGCAAGCATTAAGAACAAACGCAGGGTTCACAAAGCAGGACACCCCTCTGCATTCTCATGCGTGCGGTAACACAGAGGTGCAACCAGAGTTGTGTGAAATCTTTGCCTGAGCCACAAAGGTGCCTTCCTCTCTGCAAAACACGAGGTACAACGGATTTGCGCACAACCTTTGCCTGCCACAAAAGCGCCTTCCACCCGGCAAAACACGAGGTGCAACCAGATTTGCGTGAAAGCTTTGCCTCAGCCACAACTTATATGCGAGGTGCAAGCAGATTTGCGTGAAACCTACAAAGGTGCCTTCCACTCTAAACAACCAGATTTCAAGAGCCTCTCTGCTCCGAAAGCCCCTCCCGCTCCCCGAAGTGCTGCAAGCCAACACAGTGGAGACAGCTTAACCACAAGGGGATCCTTGCTGAGAGGAAAGCAGCACCCCAAAAAGCAACAACGGTGGACCGCACGAAAACGCACGACGACCAAGAGCCCCCGGACATGCAGGAGTGCTACAAACCAAAGGCATGCTCACGCAGAAGCCCCCTGCACTCGTCTTGCCGGAACCCGCTCGCCAAGGTCCGCGTGCTAAAGGCAAAAAAGCACTAAGAACCCAGGTCCCTTGACTCCCCCTCACGGACACAGGAACCTGAAAGTCGAGCCTCAAACAAAGCAACCGCAACCTGGAGAGCGCAACGCGAGCGCAAAAGAGGCCGCCCCCCCCCCCCCCCACCTCGAGCCGAGGACTGACACCCCGTTCTGAAGCATCGGCAAAACACGAGGTGCAACCAGATTTGCGTGAAACCTGAAGCAGCCAGGAGCCCGCTGCTCCGAAAGCCCCTCCCGCTCCCCCGAACTGCTGGAAGCCAACACAGTAGAGACAGCTTAACCACAAGGAGATCTTGAGAGGAAAGCAGCACCCCAAAATGCAGCAACGATGGACCGCACGAAAACGCACGACGACATGCAGGAGTGCTACAAGCCAAAGGCAACATGCCCATGCAGAAGCCCCCGGCCTGCACTCGTCTTGCCGGAACCCCACTGCTCGGCAAGATCCGCGTGCTAAATAAGAAACCAGGCCCCTTGACTCCCCCTCACGGACACAGTAACCGGAAACTCAACCTCAAACAGAAACAACCGCAACCTGGAGAGCGAGCGCAAAGCGAGCGCAAAACAGGCTGACCTCCCCATCTCGAGCCTAGGACTGACACCCCGTTCTGAAGCATCGGCAAAACACAACCAGATTTGCCTGAACCTGCAGCAGCCAAGAGCCCCTCCCGCTCCCCGAAGGGCTGCAAGCCAACATAGTGAAGCCTAACGACGAGCGGAATCCTTGCTGAGAGGAGAGCATGACCCCAAAAAGCAAAAACGGTGGACCGCACGAAAACACATGCGGGAGTGCCGCAAACCAAAGGCAACAGCAACAGCTGCAAACGCAGAAGCCCTGGCCTGCACTCGTCCTGCCTGGATGCTTGCTTTGACCGCCTCCTTGGCCTTCTCCACCTCCTGCTTGGCGACTGCCAGCTCCTGCTTGGCGACTTCGAGCTCCTGCTTGGCCTTCTCGACCTCTTTGGTATTGCGGGCTCGTAGTTCTTGTAGCCACACCTCGGACAAGGTGTCAACCGCCTTCTGTGCCGTTTCCAGCTCATCGATGGCCAATGTTTGTAGTCGTCGGGCTGCGGCCAGATCCTGCCAGGTGCAGGGGTGCCAAGAGCCCGCTCAGACGCAGCCCGCAATGGCCCACAACAAGCACGGCAAGCAAGCAACAACACCCTCGGAGGCACAGCATGCTTGGCATCTTCGACCGGGTCAGAGGCCTTTGCTGAGGTAGCCTGCATAAGCAACCCCATCAAGCCCGTCGAAATTCGTCTGAAGCTCCCTGGCCCCACCACACCGAAAGGACGAAAACCACTGAAGCAAGAGACACCGCAAAGCGCCTCATCCACTGCCTTGATTCGCGAACCCTGCAGCAAGGGGCACATCCTCAAACATGCTAGTGTCAGCGAGCCTTCGCGGAGCCCCCCTGATCGAAGCTTGCTGTGGCCTGCAGGAGCCACACAGAACTGCGAAGCCGTCACCAGCAAGAACAGGCTCCCTGAAAGTGCATCGGCCGACCCTTTTCGCCTTGACATCTTCATGGTCTTCGGCCTCACCACGGTCCAAAGGGCCATCAGCCTCGGCTCTTCACGACATAAGCTGGAACAGACTTTCCTCTCGGTCTCGGCTTCCCGCCTTAGCCCTGCGTGCAACGAGCGAGTTGCGTGCCCAAGTTCCCGGAGGAACCGACCTCGCTCTGGCTTGCGCATCTGCGACACTCCATGCCATACATCACATCCCACCTTGGAAAGGGCACGGCCCCCGCTCCAAGCAAAGCCCGCGCCGTCTGCGTTGCTCGCCTGAAGCTGCTCGGGAACACTTCTAACACTGTTCAAAGTGCCGGTCTTGGGCTCTGGCCGACACGCCAAGAACAGCGGCCTGCTCATGGCGGCAATGGTCCTAGCTGTCCTCTTGCTCGAGCAAAAGCACTGCAATCTGCATGAACGAATGGTCGAGCTCTACCTGTTTCAGTTCGACTGCTGGTTCATCCCTCCAGCTTGCTGTTGGGCTTGGGGTTTAGAGCTTCAGCTTCCGGGTTGAGGATTTCGGGGTCACGGAAACGGGGGTTCAAGGGTCACGGCAAACTCAAGGAAACCCCCCAACCGCCCGACAAAAGTTTCAGGTGAAGCCCCAACCCACCCGCCCCAGCAGGGACCGCATGTGAAACCCCCAACCGCCCCGCCAGGACCCCATGTGAAACCCCACCGCTCCGCCAAACCCGACAGGACCGCATGTGAAACCCCACCCTCCCCTAGCAGGCCCCAGCAGAGACCCATGTGAACTCCCACCCTCCCCCAGCACGGACCCATGTGAACTCCCACCCTCCCCCAGCAGGGACCCATGTGAACTCCCACCCTCCCCCAGCAGGGACCCATGTGAACTCCCACCCTCCCTTAGCAGGGACCCATGTGAACTCCCACCCTCCCCAGCAGAGACCAATGTGAACCCCCAACCCCGTCTCTAACTGCGCCTCAATTCCAGGCAGGTCTAGACTGGGCCTCAATTCCAGGCAGGTCTAAACTGGGCCTCAATTCCAGGCAGTCCTGAGTTCACATGCCCTCCTGCGCCCCGCCACCTGAGTTCACATGCCCTCCCGCGCCCCGCCACCTGAGTTCACATGCCCTCCCGCGCCCCGCCACCTGAGTTCACATGCCCTCCTGTGCCCCGCCACCTGAGACATGCCCTCCTGCGCCCCGCCACCTGAGTTCACATGCCCTCCTGTGCCCCCGCCGCCTGAGTTCACATGCCCCTCCTGCGCCCCGCCACCTGAGTTCACATGCCCCTCCCCCCCTTTCGATTCAAAGGGGTCACGGGGTCACGCCTGCCCAGGTTTACTTTTCACTTCACGTCAGCGGCCTCTGCCCCACGTTTCACGCACACTCCGGTTCAGTTTTACGGGCCCCCGGATTCCGCGAGATTCACTCAGTTCCGGCGCCCCTCTTCCTTAAACCCTAGACCCTGCCTCGAGCCACCAGGCGGACGACGAAGATACGAGCACCTGCGCAGAGAAAAGGGTCGGGGGTCTTGGGGAAAGAAGGACGCGGCACTCCTAGACAGCCCACAGAACACGGCCTCGAAGCACTCAAAAAACCCTTCACTAACCCCACCTCTGCTGGAAGCTGTCGAAGAAGCCGAAAGTCACGAAGCGCACCTGGTCGCAGGATAGGGGCCCGGGGTTCCCGGGACGGGAGGGGAGGCGCACAACACTCTAGGTTACAGGTGGGCGACAGCGCAGGGCACTCCTGACACCTACTGCAGCAGACACCTCGCAGCCTCAGACCCCCTGAAGCCTCTGCGCACCCGGCGTTCGGACACTGTGTCAGGGCTTGCGTGCTTGCTGTCTTCGCTCGGTGCGTCTTGCCAGGTCCTTTTGTTGCCAAACGAGTTGCTGCTGTTGCCTGCTGCCACTGCTACTCATGCTTCGAGGGAGCGAGCGCGGCACAAGCAAAAATCATCAACAAAATCCAAAACACATGCCAAAAACATGCGAAAATCAAGCAAACATGCAAAAGACAAAAAGCCAGAGTTTTTAGGGTTTAGGACAGGGTTTAAGGGGAATGTTTGTTTAGGCCTGCTCGCTCCAGAGCAGTGACTAAGCCTGCTCGCCACAGAGCAGTGACTAAGCCTGCTCGCTCCAGAGCAGTGACTAAGCCTGCTCGCTCCAGAGCAGTGAAACATGAAAGAAAACTCGTGCAAAGCGAAAAAACTGCCGTATAAGGTTTAGGGGTTAGGGAGTATAGGGTTTAGGGAGGGCTTGAGCCGAACCTGTACACAAGAGTTGAGCCAAAAACTGTACAAGCCGCCGTACAACGGGGAGGGACTTGAGCCAACAACTGTACAACAAGACTCGTCCGGCGAAGGGGGGCCCGCTCGGGGGACGACCTTTTTTCCGGGCGGGTTGTTCAAACAAGTCACCATGAGCTGGGCTCAGCAACGACAAGCCATCAAACTAGCAGCCGAGGCTGGGGTCAGGGCGAGGACCTCGGCGGCAGGCTCAGAAACCCTTCCTTTAACACACCACCACCTCCGCTACGCGATGCTCAGCCGCCCGAACGGCGAGCTCACCAGGGCCGGCCAGTACTACTACCAACTGATCGGCCGGCCGCCCCCCAGCCGGCCCGCGAGGGCCCCAACGACTACATCACGCTCCGGGGGGGCGCCAAGAAGCTGCTCCGCAGCCTCCAGCCCAACGGGAACTACCACCTGACCAAGCTCGGTAAGCACTTCTTCAAGGACAAGTGGGTGGACTGGGTGGTGCACGTGCCCGTCATCATCCGGGGCGTCCGGCGAAACGGCCGGAACCGCGGCATGCCCTACGAGCGCACGAAGCGCCTGCCCGTCACGGACCTCAACGTCGCTCTGTCCCGGCAGAGCGAGGGGCTCTCGGACTCACTTTCCCTAGTCACACAAATGCAAACATTCCTTTGTGACATCCAGCCTTAGTCCAGTCTCGAGCCAATGCCATTTAACACGGACAGTGAGTGAGTGAGTAAGTGAGTGAGTGGGGGTCTTAAGGTCAAGGGTTTAGGGCGTCTGCTATTTTCATTTTCGGGGTTGATAAGTTGTAATAGTAGGATATAGGCTTTCACTATTCGAGTGCTTCGGATCTTCGGGCTTTGGGACAATTGAAAAGTCCATAGGATGAGCTTGGGATTTTTGATATTTTTGTGTCGCGGTGTATTATATTTATTATTTTGGGGATTTCGGATCTATCTCGTATGGGATTTACCTATATCTTTAAGGCTCAAATATTTTTCATAAATACTACATGCTTTGATTTTTTAATTTAGGTCCCACAGTTTTGGCCCCATTTTGGATAGAAACAATACACCAAACAAGAGTTCACATTTCCGCGGGCTTCCTGGGTAGGTCCCACAGTTTTGGCCCCATTTTGGATAGAAACAATACACCAAACAAGAGTTCACATTTCCGCGGGCTTCCTGGGTAGGTCCCACAGTTTTGGCCCCATTTTGGATAGAAACAATACACCAAACAAGAGTTCACATTTCCGCGGGCTTCCTGGGTAGGTCCCACAGTTTTGGCCATTTTGGACAGAAACAATACGCCAAACCAGAGTTCACATTTCCGCGGGCTTCCTGGGTAGGTCCCACAGTTTTGGCCCCATTTTGGACAGAAACAATACGTGTTAAAGAACAGGGTTCACTACGGGTTCAGACACAGCTCCACTTAACACGCACTTTTCCTTCCCAAGCGGCCCGGAACCTCAAGGCGTCCGTGCTCACGCAGCTCGGGAATCCCGAGCCGAACGACATCATCCTGGAGCTGTCCGACGAGACCTACTACCTGGACGCGACGAGGGAGTGGACCTTCAGCCAGCAGGCCATGCAGGTCGTGGACGACCAGGTGGTGGTGGACACCGTCCTGGATCAGCCCCTCGGGGCCTTGCGGGACGTCTCCTACCAGCTGTTTTGTGGCGACGAGATCCTCGAGTCCGCCTTCGAACAACGGCCGGACAAGCTCTGCGTCGCCCGGCAGCTCGCGGAGCTGATGCGGCTGCCGCTGATGGAGGTGCTCTCGGACTTCGACGCAATCACCGCTATCGGAAGCAAGTGGCGGGAGCAAGGCATCACGCCCCGAGAGATCCGATCTTTCTGCCTCTGGCGCTCAGCCCCGATGTTCTACGTGGACTGCCAGGGCCGCCTGCTGGACAAGTTCGAGCCCGCGGTCAAGGAGCAGCGGGCCGTGGCCTTCACGAGCTGGAACGGCCACGCCTTCTTCTACAAATCCGCCCGCACCGTCGCGAGGTGCGAGCCGATCGGGGACCGGGCCCAGGCCAAATATCGGGGCGAGAGGAAGCCAGGCGAAACGCCGGAGTTCAAGGACTGGCGGGAGTGGGAGGGCGAGGTCGGCAGCGGCCACTTCTACGCCGAGGACCTGGAGCAGGTCCGGAGGGACCTCCTGGCCGAGGGGCACTGCCCCAAGGTGGTCATGCGGAGCATGAGCGAGTGGCGGTGCCTGCGGCTGCGGGTGCGCGGCGGCGAGGACTGCGTCATCTGCACTTACCACGAGGACCTGGAGGTGCTGCAGGCCTGGATGGGCCGGCTGATCACCGCGGCGACGTGCGAGCTGGACCACATCGTCCCCGTGCACCAGTCCTTCTCCGCACAGGTCCAGAACCTCCAGGCCCTGTGCCTCGAGTGCCACCGGAACAAAACGGCCCTGGAGTTCTCGCACCCCACGACGCTGGAGTCCCGCTTCAGCCGGCGGGCTTACGAGGCCTACGTGGAATCACCCCGGCTCCCCCCGCTGGTCTTCAAGCTCGACCACATCTGCCACGGAATAGACGTTGTCCGGTGGCGCAAGAACGCCCTGCCCACGCCAGGTTCCCGGCCCATCTTCTGCCCCAAGGACAACATGGAGCAAGCCCGCGAGGGGCACCTGGCAGACCTGACCTACGTGGAGGACGGGCGGTGGGCGGCCTTCCCGCGGCTCCCCTACGTGGGCCAAGGCTGGTACGCCAAGCCCGCGGTGGCCTACATGCTCGAAAGGGGCATCGCGACCTGGAGCAACTTCGTGTGGAGCCTGGACGCCACGGCGCACGTGGACCAGGAGTCCGTGACCCAGGCCCTGCAGCAGATGGAGGCGGCCTGGCCGGAGGGAGAGGAGCACTACGCGAAGCTGTCGGTGAACGCCCTCATCGGACTCTGCTTGGAGGGTCGCTTCGGTTAGTAAGTGGTTAGACCGGTTGATGCAGGTAGCTTAAGTGTTGTAAGTCCACTTAGTAAATGGCATAAGTCGACTTAGTAAGTCCTTTAAATCATGTAATTGGTGTGCTAAGTGGTTATATGATTTAGTAAGTGGTTAGATTTCAATTAGATTTGGGGATAAGTAGTTATGGGGTTATGTAAGTGCTAGTTAACTACTT